TAATGCGTATCAGTGGCCATGGTGTATATGTATATGTGTGTGTATGTTATGCTGTGTTGTGGTATGGTGTACTATGGTTTAGTGTGGTATGATGCGTGGTTAAGGCCACGAGCTACCTACCTACCAACCTACCTAGCTAGCTAGCTAGCTTGCTATACTTGCACACTATGTGATCATGATCCTATATTTATCTATCTATCTATCTATCTATCCATCTATGTATCTATCATCTATCTATCTATCTCTTTCACACACGTGATGTGATCGTTCCTCGTAATTCGATCTCCAGTTCAACAACGTTATCCCATAATACCGTCCTATCACGCGATACACAATGTTGCTTATAACACCGTTCCATCATTTTTTTTTTTTTTTCTATTAACATTCGAAAGATTTCTTATTTTTTATTTTTTTTATTTTTTTTTTTAAATATGATAAATTAAGAATATAAAATATATTTTGTAATTTATATAGAAAAGATGGATAAAAATTGTACAAATATATTTTCAAAAAGTTGGAATTCATCATCGTTGAAAAAATTTGATACACCAATTAATTAATATTTATATATATTATATATATATATAATTTATTATTAATATAAATATTAAATTAATATAATATATTATATTAATTTAATATTTATTTAAATTAATTTAATAATATAATAATATATAAAATATATAAAATATAATATTATAAAATTATATAATATATTATTAAAAATTATTAATAAATTTAATATTTTAATAATATTTATATTAAATTAATATATATATATATATATACAAATTTATATTATATAAATTTAATATTTATTTATTTTATAATAACGAATGAATTATACAGTGGTAATTTATTTTAATGGAGAAAATATTTTGTAGTAGTAGTAGTAAATGAAATAAGTAAAATATTTGATAGATAAAACCACGACTCGTGAATATTTATCTAAACTATTATTTTACAAGGCTTATGGTTATATCTTAAATCTATTATTTGAATTTTAGTAGACTACAAATATACACACACACACACACACACACACACACAGATAGCTTTGTGCTTTTCGTAACTAAAACATGATTCGATAACAACGGTTATAAAATTAAGTGCAGTTATGTCAGAAAGGAAGATAGATAGAAAGATAGAATTATCTATTCCTGATATAAACGTGCACAGTTATTTCTCGTTAAACTTAACTGATCCCTTGGTAAAAGTTTCTTTCGTATTATTTCGATAATGAAGTACAAAATAATTAAACAATACTCAAGATAACACATTTTGCAATCTATTATTACATATAAAATTATGAGATGAACAAAAAAAAAATTAGATTAATTCAAGCAATCAAAGTGATATGCTAGAATTTAATTATATTATATTTAAATATAGATGAATGATACTATAAATAAATAAATATTTAATAATAATAATAATAAAATAAAAATTATATTAATTCAAGTAATTATACTACATACTAGAATTTAATTATATTATGTTTAATAGATGAATGATATTATATAATTAATAATTATTGTAATATTCTTCTCTTGGTTAATGGTTACTATTACAATAAATATAAATCATTCTATACTTAATTATTTTATGATATAATACCCATTAATTAAACGCATGCTTAATTATAACCCACCATAATGTATTACATAGTAATTCAAAGATATTATACATCAAATTAATCGTATTACACTATTGTGTAATAAAGTATCATTATAATTATTATAATAAATTAATCTATTATATATTTATATGTGTGTGTGTGTGTGTCTGATATAAATTGTTTTATTGTATGAATTTACATTTTTTTTTTTGTATTTATTGTAATTTTGTTCATTCTTACTTTTTTAACTGTTTCTATTTATAAGAAAAGGTGGTGGAAAAAGGTGTAGATAGGTTACAGGCATGCATCACATTAGATTATCTTAGAACGTTGGTATTTCTTTCGAAGACGTCATATTTCTCTCTTAGCCTACGTCATCGTAGTTTATATCGTGTTTATCTTCCTGATTCTCGTATAAAATTACTGTGTTAATGGAAGCGAAAAGACAACCTAGTAGTAGTAATAGTATTACTTTACTTCATTTTCTTTTCTATATTTCCCGATTTTATTTGTATTTAATTTTTTTTTTTTATTAATAGAAAAAAATAGTAGAAATTAATTCTATGCAATAAAAAAATTATATATTAATTTAATTTTATATTCATACAAATAATTGTTTATAGTATTAATTTAATTTCATATAGAAATATGATTGTATAATAATGTAATTTTATATTTATAAAAATAATATTATATTAATTTAATTTTATATATAAAAATAATAATATATTAATTTAATTTTATATTTATACAAATAATTTTGTATAATATTAATTTAATTTTATATATAAAAATAATTGTGTATAATATTAATCTAATTTTATATATAAAAATAATTTTATATAATATTAATTTATTTTATATATAAAAATAATTGTGTATAATATTAATTTACTTTTATATAGAAATATAATTGTATATTAATGTAATTTTATATTTATAAAAATAATATTATATTAATTTAATTTTATATTTATAAAAATAATTGTATATAATATTAATTTAATTTTATATACTGCACGTGATTGACTGGCTCAACAAATTAGAATATTTTGATTTTCAATATTAAATATATAATATATATTATAACATGAACATGACATATATATATATTACAATAATAAGTGTATTTATTTATCCACGTAGGTGTAGTTAATTTTGTCTATTGAATCGTATTCGTCTTCCGTTTTCTATTATTGGAGAAATTCTAGACTCTTGTCTAGATTTGGATCTCAGACAAACTTGAGCATTAGAACGACTACGACTATGACGAAGGGGTTAGTAGGTGGTGGTGGTGGTGGTGTACGTGTTTCAAGTCTCGTGTCTCGAGGACTTTCCCCACTCGAAGGTTCCATTGCTACGACAGGACCTTGGTTTCACATAAATCGATATCTTCTTTTCTTACTATACTACCTCCTGGCACTGTCGACCAAATTTCATACAACTAAATGTTATTTTTCATACAACTATACGAATAAAAACACCAATTTCTTTCAATCAGTCTAATTGAAATTATTTTTCATAATCTTACAATTTTTGTTCATTATTTTTATTATTAAAATATTTACAATGAATTAAGAAGAATCATTAAATCTTTCTATTAGATGCACGTGGTTGACTCAACGGATTAGAATATTTTGATTTTCAATATTAAATATATTTGCAGATACCAAGTCCAATATGCATAATGTAAACAAAATTATGCTAATGTTAGTTTCACCGTCATTTACATTTTAATATTTACTCAATAGCCAATATATATATATATTATGTACCTATATAATCTTTTCTTAAAAATTCAATTATTTATTTTAAAAAAAGAAATTTTTTTAAATAAAATATGAATATAAATATTATACGTAAACTCGAGTATTATAAAATATAATTTAATAAATTATATAATATAATTATATCTTTTTAATATTAATTATTATTAATAAATTATAATTTAAATATATTTATTAAAATTATAATTTAATTTTTTTTTAGTTTTTTAATTTTATATATATATAATTAAAGACACAACAGAAAAAAAATAGATTAAAAAAAATAAATAACTAAATAAAAGTATAGTTACTTAAATAATTAATAAACGATCTAAACGTGAAAGTAAGTAAGAACGAATGAAATAATAATTAAAGAAGAAGAATATAAGCAATAAATAAATAAATAAATAAATAAATAAATAAAAGATAAATTAGAAGAAAAGATATACGAAGACGTTCCACTCTCGTTACGAATCGCATTCGTCTTTCGCAATCGTTCGTGCGAGGCCCATCCAATTCTTTCTGGGTGAAACCTCATGCTCTGAACCTGTCGGATCGTATTCTCGTACACTCGGGATTATTCTTTTATAGGAAGAAACTCGCACACAAAGTATACATAGTATTCTCTTCCCCCGTTTCCATCCCCTTTCCACCCTTCTTCTTTCTTTTTCTTTTTCTAGATACACATAGTATGGGAAACGTGCTTAGAGAAAAGTTCTTCTTTGATTTACATCGACTTACATGGAATTTATATCTGACGTGTGTAACATCACTTGAAATTTTCCAATTTACTTCTTCGACTTTCTTAGTGTTTTTTTAATCTTTTTTTTTATATTTTTTTTTCTTGTGTAGATATTATAATAATAATAAAATAGATTTATTGATACAGTAATATAAAAAGGAATATTATTTATTATTATTAATTTGTTAGAAATTAATATATTTATTATTTATTATTATTAATTTGTTATATATTAATATATTTATTATTTATTATTATTAATTTGTAGTAGATTGAGAAAACAAATTTCCTAAATAAAATTCAATTCAATGGAATAAAATTTAAATAAATCATATCACCATAAAAATAAGAATAATAATAATAATAATTTACATAGCAACAAATGAAATTTGATTTCCAATTCTACTAATAACATTGCTAAATTATTTTATTGTATATATTAAATTATTTTATTAGTATAAATCAAAAATATATATATAAATATAAAAGCTTATGAACTAACTAACAACCTAAATAAGCTGTGAAGTTAGTTTTGGGAGCAATTATTTTTTTTTTTTTTTACCAAGAGTAAGGTTGCTAGCCTAACCCTTGAACCCTCCTCCTTTATCTGGGCTTGGGACCAGCTAGGTATTATCTAGGAATTTCTAGATATTACCTAGGCGGAGTTAATAATAATAAATTGTGAACATATATTAATGACAATTACAACGATTTAATTCTTTCTTCCTTCCCCCTTCTTTCTTTTCTTCTTTAATCTCTTTTATATACTAAGAATCATCTAGATGAAGTTTTGGTTAAACCAAAGTATCTGTTACTACCCATGAGATGCAATTAAATCACGAAGTAATTAGGTAGATTGCCGTGGTTAACCAAGATGTCCAATCCACTAGACACTTTGGAAGACAATCACGGTTTTCTGTCGCCTTGGTTAAGACACCTTCTCTTGGGGGGATTAGTAATAAAGTAAGAACAAAACCTAGAACCTGAAAGAAAGAAGATGTGCATTTCGATTTGGCGACACAAATTCACATCCATAGCACGTATCAACGATTTTATCAAAGAGAAATTTGTTCCTATCTAAAATCGACGATCAGTATGCGACACTGAGATCAAAAGAAAACGTATACGTATATTTAAATCGCTTTCCCGTTTTCTATCATTTCAATGTTGCTTTCTCAAAAGAAATAAAAAGAATTGAAATTAAGTAAAAGAGAAATAGGAGAAAGATGAAGGAAGAAAAGGGTCGTAGAAAATAAAGGGGAAAAGGGAAAAAAGAGAAATTTAAATTGTCCCTCGTGTACTCTCTTTGTGTCGAAAGATAAAATGATGATAAATTCATTTCTCTTTCTTTCTTTCTGTCTTTCTTTCTTTTTTTTATTTATTTATTTATTTATTTATTAATTGCATGCAGTTTTTAATCAACGTCGAAAGAATTCTTTTATTACGAATCCTTTTCTTTTCTGTTTGTGTTTTTATTTATTTATTTTTTTTTTCATACTTACAACATTCATTTTGTTGTAAATTTAAATGGATACATTTTTTTTACCAATTCTGACATTTCTTTCTTTCATTCTTATTTTTTTATATATATTTTTTTTTTTAATTTAAATCATTAAATGATGATCAACAAGATAAAATATCATTTGTTTAATTTAACTAAGTTTAATTGATTGATTATAAATGTATATTTGTTAATTTTTGTTTTCAGGTGAACTGTGTCGTCCACTTAATTGCAAAAAGAAGGAATTATGTTTACTCGAGGATACGTTCACTGCAGTATGTGTATCCAAAAAAGAACTTCATAAGTCTGGGTAAGTTATACACATCTATATACATATACATACACATACTTACTGTTAAGAAAAGAGACGGAAAATATCTTTTCATAAGTTTTATTTATTATATATTTATTATGGTGGTTACACATTGACGGGGCTACATTCTTACTCACTGCCTGCTGTGTTATCTTCTTGCAGCTTATATATCCTACGTTTACAACACAAAATCGCTGACATATCTTTGTCAACACACCGTAAATATAGATAGACGTAAAAGATATTCTTTATTATAAGCATAAATTAATCTCTCAATTAATATTTCAACACTAACAGATCAAATTTAACATCATATTATCTAACTTACATATGTAACAATCAATAAGTTTACTTATTGTTTCTGCTTTTATGGGATACTTAATAGCAATTAAACGTAAATGTACAAGATACGTGAATAGAATCTATGATGTTAGATAATATCTCTTGCTTGTTTCTATTCCTCACTCTCTCTTTCTCTCTTTTCTATCTTCTATCTTTCTCTTTGGTATACATATATGTATGTGTGTTCTCAACGAAAACCACATGACTCGTTTGAAACTCATCTGGAAGTTTCTGAGTTGTGTGGTTTACCTCTCCTTCCGACGTCTCGTTAATCGTTACATTCTATGATAGTTTGCGATCAAATTTTCTACGAGAGAAATAGAGATAGATAGATAGATAGATAGATAAATATCCTTTTTCGAAAGTACCATCCTGTATATATTATAAATATATATACGTTTGAAATGTAAAATAAATCGCGAATGAATGAATATATGAATGTATGAATGTACGTACGTATTACTTACACATATTACTCTAGTTCGTAGAAAATAGTAAAAGCTTTTAAAAAAAAGCTCTATAACGATTCCTATATCTCTTCCCTCTTATTTTTTATTTTTTTTTTTTTATTTTATCTATTTCTTCTTCTTTTCAATAAAAAAAATGGGATACTCGTAGGATAGGTTGGTAGATCTCATGAAGGAAATGAAAAATGATCAATCATTTTTATTCTCTTCCACCTTTTTGAAATTTTTATCTCTTTAAATAACTTTTCTTGTTTTCTTCTTCTCTTATAACACGGAACTTGTAAAATTATTTTCTTTTATTATTAATGATCGATAAAAATGAAATGTTGATTTTATTAAAAAAAAAAAAAAAATTTATTATTCTCGGTTTACACAATTTCAATTTAAACTTTTTTTCATAAAATATACAATAATGAGATATTATATTTATTTTATTCAATCGTATTTTAATATTGAACTCACAACGTATTATAATAAATATATTCGTAATATTATTTTACATATTTATTTATCGATTTTGTTCATTTCCTTTTTAATTCCGTCACGTTTGTGTCACGAGGTTGTGTTACGTAAGTGTGTAACTCGTCAAGAAACGATTTTTATTGGATTAAGGAAGCACTTGAGTGTCTCTTGTAAGCGTAGAAAACACGTTCCAGTTTTCTTGATCCTCTTTCTCTTTCAGTTTCTTTTCTTTTCTTTTCTTATTTTTTTTTCTTCCCTATGTAACACACGTGCGAATAATCCCGTCTCAATTCAGTAAGAAATCTCAACGAAAAATGAAAGAAAAATAATGGAAAGAAAATGTAAACGTTTGTAAGACGGATAAAATGTAATATTTTCAAAAATAAATTTTGTAATAATAATTATTTCTCAAGTGAAAACTTTTTTAAAATATTAATTGCAAAATTAAAATTAAATTTTAATCATTATTTATAAAAATATTACGCCTGTACGAATGCAACCCTCCAGACACATTTTGAAAATGTTGCTTGCAAGCGCCATCTCGCGAAACAGGATTTTTTTTCAGCTCAAACTATTCATACATGCATGTATTACGGGTTGCCTATCTTTCGGGTAGAAAAAAAATTCCGTTCCAATAGATGTCGCTCGCAAACAACATTTTCAAAGTGTGTCTGGAGGGTTGCATTCCTTTAGGCGCACATTTTTATTATTATTTATATAAATAATTACAACAACAAAAAGTAAATATAATATTATATAATGAATTATGATAATTTCGATATTATACACTTGTTTTTCATCGTTGATGTTTTTACAGGGACATTGTAATACCAAAATCATTGGCTGTTCAGCAACGACGAATGAAAGCGGACAGTTCGGCCGATGCACAGGACGACGATGCCTTTTTCGATTCGGAGGACGATGATGAAGATCAGGATGAGTCTAAGTAAGTAACTAAGTAAAGCTTTTGGTTCTAATCGGATCAACACCTTACAACAACTATGGCCCTTCTAACTCTTGCGGTAAATTGTACTTTAAGTTACTTCGTGTTCTATCCTAAAGCCCACTCAAGTATTTTCCCTTTTTTCTTTTTTTTTTCTTTTTTTTTTCTTTTATTTTACACTTACGAAAGATTATTCGTATTTGTTAAATAGAAGAAAGGCAGAAAAGATTTTTACATTAATTTATAAATATGATTATTCATTTGCGAATACATCCAATTGTTTTTTTGAAATTGGGTGTACGATAATTTAATTTTTTTTTTTTTTAATTTTTTGTTTGTTCGTTTACTTTTCTTTTTCTTTTTTTTTCTTTTTTTTTTACAGAAAAATGACGAGAGTGTCTCAATTACTGTTTAATTTTGCATATATCTATTACGATTTTTATAAAAGGATCATAATGGCAATAATAAGACTCTTTTAAAGATTTCTTTCAACGACGTTCTATATTAATAATAATAATAAATAATAATAATAAATAATAATAATAATTTATTAAACGCGTAATTGTGAGAAAATAATGCAATTTAGTGAGAATAGAGTAGGAAGAATTGTGAGAATTTAGTTTTCAAGAAAATATTCTTTAGTATACCTTCTCTCCTATCTTTTCTTTTTTTTTATTATTATTTTCATCGTGGTAACAAAATGAAGGTGTATTATTTGCTTGGCGAAAGTTAGGATCTTTTGGCGTATAAAAAAAAAAAAATGAAAAAAAATAAAAAAATAAAAAAAAATATATAAAAGAAAGGAGAAAAAAATGTGGTGGTAGAAAGACTCGAATAAGCATTTTCATTTAGAAATAAAATTCCTCGGAGAAGGTTCTATCTTTTTAAAAGAAACGAAATGAAGAAAAAAGAAAAAAAAATACAAAAAATAAAAACGAGAAATAAAGAAAGGATGGAAGGAAGGAAGGAAGGAAGGAAGACAACAAATGAGATGATTGTAGATAGGAAGGGATACCAACAAAACACATTTTCTTCTTACGTAAATTTACACGAACTTCTACCAGCAAAGAATTTTCCTTTTTTTTTTGTTTTTTTTTTTTTTGGTCATTCACTTCTTCCTTCTTTCCTCGTCCTTACCACTTCAACCTTTTCTTTTTACTTCGTTTCTCGAAAAAAAATTAAAGAAATTAAAGGGAATTTTTATTCTTTTTTTTTTTTTTTTACATTTTTTTCCGTGCTAGAGAAAGAAAAACAAAACAAACCAATGAAAAAGTACCAAAGAGTAGACTAGGATAATTATTCGAATAAAAGTAAAAGGAAAAAAATTGAATTGAAATAAAACAATTGTTACAAACACCCTGCATGCTCGCAAACGCGTAGTTTTTTAGAATAATTTTTTATTTATTTATTTATTTATTGTAGTAATAAAATAATAATCGATAGAGAGGAATATGTAAAAATAATTAAATAAAAATTTTAACTGTCACATATATAAATGAATTTTTTAAATGTCAAACAATTGAGAATTAATTTAGAAATAATTTCA